AATTATAACCAAAAAAGTTTGTTTTCTACTATTTATTTTACGAAATTTGAGTCTTATAACCGATTTTTTTTTAATGTATTTGGACACGTCCGGACCGTTCCAGACGATTTTGAGTCTAATAAGCGACTGAACCTTATATCCGTGAGTCTTATAAGAGGCGTCTACTGTATTATTAAATAAAGAAATACAGTAAATCAGTGGCGTCGAAGTTTTTAAAATGTGGTCGGGCAATTTTAAAACTTCGCGGCCTCAATATCCATTGGCGTAAAAAAGTATTCAAATTTGGGGTAGGGGGTGTGAAATATACATTTATTCATAATAAAAGTTATATGATGTTTATATAAAGCGGCCTACCAGCCACATTTTTAAAAAAAGAGGTCGGGCCATGGCCCGACTTCAACATAGACTTCGGTGCCACTGCAGTAAATAGTTGTTAACATACATTATTTAGGGGTAATTTACAGTATTTCATTTTTTTTTTTTTTAAGAAAAAGACAATCTTCAGTATTTAATTTGAAAAGTATTTTGTATAAGTAAATGTATAAATTTTTCTGTAAAGCTGTGCATCTACGAGTTGGTACAAGTCTTAATTTAAAATAAATAAACTAGTATCATAAACGCATTAACCTATTAATGTCTATATTTATTGTATTTGTTAAATGAATAAAATTGGTATAGTGGTACACACAAATATTTGTAATTTTATTACACTTTAATGACAAATATAATTTTCTTGATCATGAACATATTACAATATATGCATTATAATAAAATATTTACTCAAATCTTAAAATGCCCCTTAAAGATTCCAGCTGTACACGTCTATAAGTAATGTGACTAACTAACATTACATTGAGATCAGACGCGGATCTAGAAAAATTTAACAGGGGGTGCTCAAAAAAAAAAAAAAAAATTGTTACACCTTAATATTTATTTAAATATTACCATTTTCTATTTGATTTATTAGTGCTAACTTTTTTTTCATAATAATTGTAATTGGTGCTTTCCGCYGTTGACGCGTGTCGTTATACACACTAGTATACTTCGAAAACAATTAACAATAATAGTTATTATTGTCATAGTGACGGCGATAACTGACGATAACGTGACTAGCCAAAATTATTATTATTATTAATTTTATTTTGAAAAATAACAAATTATATTATAATTTATAATATAAATTAATTTTGAAGGTGTCTAGATGACAGGGGGTGACTGAGCACCCATAGCCCCCCTCTGAATCCGCGTCTGATTGAGATTATTATGTATTCTAAATTTAAGACTAAACTTAAATGTMAATTAATAAACCAATAATTCAATGATTAAAAACAGATAGGATTTGAGTGTAAATTTATGATTTTATATGTATGTACCTATATTTACTTGATGATATTATCTAAATTATACATTTACAGGAAGAAATGGAAAAAAGATGTACTAAATTCTTGTCTCTTGACAAGTGTTTGCCAAAAAAAAGATTCTTACAGATTTTAGATGTACCTCATGATGATTCTAAATCAATTAATTTAATGTATGACCTGGAATGGCTTTCAATTTTGCATCTTACCAATCATTTATTAAATATTAACAGTAACATGTATTATTTACCAGGACCTTCTGCTTCAGAAAGGTTTTTATATAAATTATTAAATTCTACTAAACTTTGTATCAACATTTTTGCAATTGTATTTACTATTCATTTTTTATTTATATTTAGGTATGATTTTACTCCAACTGAAGAAGAAAAAACTGTTGTTCTTAACATGTTCTCTCATGACTTGAGAATCCCAAATAATTTTATTTCTCTTGAAAATTATAAATCTAAAACAAATCCTCAGACTACTACTTTTTGTGGAAAGTTATGTATAGACGACCCTCTTGCTTTGTTATTAGGACAGTGGTCTCGTTCTAATTTAACTGAAAATGAACCTGAAATGGATTCTACATTTTCATCATTTGTAAACTCTACTGTGTGTTCAATAAATGAAGATGAATTATTGGATAAGACATCAGAAAAAATAACAATGTCTCCATTTGTGCTACCCGAACCAAAAAATGATAGCACGTGTTCAAATAGTAATGAAAATTCATTTTTGAATAATTGCTCAAGCATAATAATGCCAAATACATCTACAGAAGAATCTCATGAAAATATTTTCCAATCACAAGGTAAATTTTATAAAATACTTAAAATAATTTATATTAAATAACTGTAATTTATTTTAGATGCCACGGTAAATAATGATATACATAATGAAGTAAATAATACAACCACTAAAACAAAATGTTTAAAAAGAAGAAATTATCAACAAACTTATGAGGATGACTGTGAATAGTATTATGTTATATTTTTAGAATTCATAATATCTTAAATGTTTATTTTCTAATATATGATTTGATATGTTTATAACAATACCAATGCATAATATAATATAATTTGGTTTAATATATTTTATTCCCAATTATATTTCTATATGGGATCAGGCCATCCTTATCATACATTTTCATAAAGCTTCATCTCCTTCACTACAGCTATTTTAGTGCCATTACCTATTCTATTTATCCATATCTTCTTTGGTATTCTCCTCTTTACTTCTAAATTTATTTCCATAGCCATTGTCATTGCGTTCAGTCTGAATTACCTCTTCACGCTATGCTACCCCACCATCTCAACCAATTCTCCCCCATTTTTTTCTACAACTCGTAAAGCTCCTGCACTAACCTTAATAAGTAGATTTCTAATCTATGCTCCCCAGAACTCCACACATCAAAATTGATTACACATAAATGATTCATGGACATTTCCTCGTCACGCGTTTTCCACCACTTCCTCGTAAGATATTTCCCCGTCCAATACGTTTCCCCATACGACATATCCCCGTCTATTATAAGTATACTCATAAATATAAAATATAAGTAGTAAAAAAACAAAAWATTACCATRAAATATTTTAATGTTGTAGTTCTAAATTATGAGCGATTCCAATTATTAAGTACTCATTTAGATCACGTTCATCAT